ATGCTTTAACTATGGTATCAGCCGCTAAGTTATTTGCTGTGAGAATTTATATAAAACCTAAATATTTCCCCTGCCCTTCTGTTTAAATAGGAGTAGTACTATAGTAAATGAAACAGTGAATTCACATGACTGTGGCTCTTTTGGGTAATGTTGATCGATAATTTCGCTCCTGAACTGCTGAGCTCTGAGAATCACTGCTATAGATGTTTCTGTTACCTTTTGAAACTTAAGATTGTAGCTTAGTTGTGTAGAAATGTTCACCTGCTTTAGCCTTGTAAATAACTCTTATTTCCTTTTTAATAAATTGTCTTATAATAAGACCGGCTACACGCACGGTCTTTGGTGTGAGATCTAAAGTACAGTTCACCTAGGGTGCCTGGACCGGTGGGACTGGGAGTAACCGGAATACTGTTGTGATTCTGAGTGTAAGAGACCATCTATCTCACCGAGGCAGGCTCACCTGGGTTGCGAGACAGATCGGAGTAGCCAACGGGGCTGTTACGGTGCCGGAGGAATTTACACTGGATGTTTGGTTGGTGAAATCTAAGTCTAGAACTCTCAGCCAGTTTGGGGTTTGTGCCCTGGTTCCCAGCTGTCTGCTCTGAGGCTGGCACTCACCCTCTCAACACACTGCAGACAGCATTAGAGCAGGGTCTTGGCTCCAGTTCCCCTCCTTACAGGACAGAGGAACTGAGCCTGCCCAGAGAGGGAGTTTGGGGACAAGATGTATGTGACCCAGGGACCCCTTGGTGCCAACTGGCAGGCGGCACAGAAGGTTTTACAGGAATCCCCTGGATCTGATCTCTACATCAGTACTTTTCAACCTTTCCAGACGACTGCACCAGAGGCCCAATTGCATAACGTTCTCCTACCATAGACCACTAAACCTTCAGGGAAAGTTGCTCTTGAAAAAACGAAGCATCTGCAAAAATACTAGCATGCTACGGACTTTTGCAGTTCACAAAACTATCCCTCCTGCATGCATATTATCTGCACACACCGCTCAGCTTTAAGATGCTAAACAAATCTGAGTCAACTGGAAATAGTCACGCTCTCATCGCAAATATTAATGCAATATTTTCTGATACTGGAAAGGAGAGTCAAAGGCATTCACTCAGACTTACACAATTTCTCTGGGATGTCAACTCGTAATATGATTAATACATCACACGTAGAACAGTAACATTAAGTAATGAAGCAACACAGAGAGCAACAAACTCACAAACAAACAAGTGACACCACTGAAAATACGAAGGGAAGTAAAACATCAAGTGGTTGGTTTGGGGGATTTTACATGAGTGTTTAGGACCCACACTGTGCAAGTGCAACAGAGCCCTGTAGAAACAGGTAAAGTTCTCCTGGTTTCACATTTGTGTGTGTGTGTGTGTGTGTGTGTGTGTGTGACCAACTCAGAGTAGCCTCATTAGGTTTTTACAAGCCCTGGAGCACATTAACACATGGCTTCAGAGTTTGCAGACAGATTCCCTGCTTCAAAGAGCTTGCAAATAAAGTCTTTATCTTACAAAACACTTAGCACCACTGGCATGGACGCATGTCTTCTGGAATGGTGGCCGAAGCATGAAGAGGCATACGAATGTTTAGCATAGCTGGCATGTAAATACCTTGAAATGCTGGCTACGAAAGTGCCATGCAAACACCTGTTCTCACTTTCAGGTGATACTGTAAATAAGAAGAGGGCAGCATTATCTCCTGTAAATGTAAGCAAACTTGTTTCTCTTAGCGAGTGGCTGAACAAGAAGTAGGACTGAGTGGACTTGTTGGCTCTAAAACTTAACATTGTTTTGTTACGGAGTGCAGTTATGTAACAAAAAAAATCTACATTTGTAAGTTGCACTTTCACCATAAAGAGATTGCACTACAGTACTTGTATGAGGTGGATTGAAAAATACTATTTCTTTTGTTTGTCACTTTTACAGTGCAAATATTTGTAACCAAAAATAAATATAAAGTGAGCACTGTACACTTTGTATTCTAATTGAAATCAATATAGTTGAAAATGTAGAAAAAACATCCAAAATATGTAATAAATTTCAGTTGGTATTCTATTATTTAATAGTGCAATTAAAACTGCGATTAATTGCAATTAATTTTTGTGAATCTTGATTAATTTTTTGAGTTAATCGTGATTAATCGACAGCCCTAATTTAAAACATACAATATTCCTGCTGGAAGGTTGCACTGTAACACAACTTTATGGCTTAGAATCTAGAATCCAGAATGAGAACACACAGCACCAAAACCCGAGACAAAGCAAACTGCTCCTTGAGGGGGCAAGACACAACTCACCCTACCTTGATCTAAGCTGCTGCTTTCAAAACTGACTGGTTGCTGCTTCCAGACCCAGGCTTCACTAGAGCTCTCTAGTGTGCAAGCAGGACCAGGCAGCCTCCCCCTTCCCTCAACTATCCCTTAAAGCGACAGCCTGCAATTCCACAGAAACTGGGAATGGGCGACAGGGGATGGATCACTTGATGATTCCCTGTTCTGTTCATTCCCTCTGGGGCACCTGGCACTGGCCACTGTCGGAAGACAGGATACTGGGCTAGATGGCCCTTTGGTCTGACCCAGTATGGCCTTTGGTCCAGGGCCGGATTAACTCTCCTATGGGCCCAGGGCCGGAATAACTCTCCCATGGGCCCGGGGCTATTAGATTTTGTGGGACCCCTGCCTACAAGTCTTTTTCTTAATTTAAAACAAAATGATCACAATTATGGCATCAAGTAGGGTAACCAGATGTCCCAATTTTATAGGGACAGTCCTGATTTTTGGGTCTTTTTCTTATATAGGCTCCTATTACCCCCCACCCCCACCCTGTCTCGATTTTTCACACTTGCTGTCTGGTCACCCTAGCATCAAGGCTATTAGCGATATACTAAATTTGCCTTTTCATTAACATAAAGCTGTTCTGTGGTTACATTTCAGTCTTAAAACATGTAGAATATAGTTATTTCAACATAGCCTACTTCTTACCTTATAACAGCTGTTATATTAGTTTCTGGGAGGGAGTTTGGGTGCAGGAGGGGGCTCCAAGCTGGAGCAGAGTGTTAGGGTACAGGAGAGGGTGAGGGGTGCAGGCTCTGGGAGGGAGTTTGGTGCAAGAGGTGATTCTGACCTAGGGCAGGCGGTTGAGGTGCAGGAGGGGGCTCCAAGCTGGAGCAGAGTGTTAGGGTACAGGAGAGGATGAGGGGTGCAGGCTCTGGGAGGGAGTTTGGTGCAAGAGGTGATTCTGACCTAGGACAGGTGGTTGAGGTGCAGGAGG